ACTCGTGTAACTATAAATCCTCGTAATGACTAGAATTTGGTCATTTCGCGGGAATTCCAAATTCGCAGGAGTTAGGAAAGATCTGGCATCTGTCTCCTCTCCCTGCTGAAAATTTTGTCACGGCTTATGGGCGTTACCATCATTGCGGTCGGTGCAGTCCAGATTACTGTAACGTTTGAGCAGACGGGCTTTTATGTGCTTTCTCCATTAAAAATGGCGCCAAAACTGGAGTGGATCCTAGTAACATTTCAGGCGCGGTTTCTTCCATGCGGGGGTTTGCCAGGGTCACTCGCGCCGCTTTTTTAAACTTTATTGTCGTAGACATCTCCTTCGGTTCGCGATATGCTAAGCGATCTCTGAAATCCGCATTCCACTCCCACCAGGAAAACTTTGACAGAGACGTCGCCAGATTATCAGTAAGCCGAGAATGAACCCAGTCTTCCTGCCCGTTGTTCGAGTTCATCCTTGTCTGCCCGAGCTGCACATGTTAGACACGTAGCACGTCACATACCCCCCCCCCCCCCCACCCCCCGGCCTGGTATTGTCATGACGTCTTCCAAAAGTTTCGGGGCCAACACATTCGTTTTTTGCCATGGCTGTCTACCAAGCGGCTCGGCTTACAACTGGCGTGCCCTTAAAACCCAGTAACTAACTAAACGGCCCGGTTGCCAGATTGAAGAACTTCGTGAAATAGATCCGACACGTTGGTTGGAGGGTGCTGTAAGATGCTTCTGAAGCCTGACATACGAGACAAGGTGGATGAGTTTGTGCCGCAGTGGTACAATTCGCCTGGCGTATTGGAGCAGCTGCAGTTGGACCTGCAGGCCATTAGTCGAGGTACCTGCGTACCTGATCGCCTCAGGTCTCTGACAAGTGCTCTTCCTGCCTGGCATTTGCTGACTGGCTCAGCAGAGCTCAGTCCGGTGATGACGGCTCCAGAATGTGCCTTTCCTGGTCATGTGCGCAGGGCCTCATTTTGGACCAACACTAGCGATAATCAGTTCATCGTTATCACCAGTGCTTGTACCGCATACAGGCAGTCTGCTGACACTTATATTTTTTCCTTCCCATGTTTTTCATTCGTTTAAATTTTTCGTCACTTTCCTGATGACGCAGATATTTTCACCTGGCCACTTGTGAGCCATTCGCATCTGTACGTGGTTTGCAAGCGCGTAGACCAGTTGTTCTTCGGGCCCCGACTCGTCTGTGAGGCTCACGGGCGTCGGCTTGACGCTTTCTCTCATTGTCCGCAAGGTGAAGATCCAGAGGAGGTGGTGTCGCCGCCAGCCGCGACCCGCCCAAGCTCGCCCAACACGCCGCCCTGCTCACCCCGACACAGCGCCACCAGTCTCGCCGCGCCCATCCACCCTAACGCGCCAAACAAGTCCAAGTCTGCCACCTTCGTCAAGGTAAGGCCGCTCCGACCTGACGTGGCTGTCGGCATGGGGCGTACGGCCCAGCCCGACCGTTGGCTTGCCCGACAGGCAGCCACCATTACACTGTGTGCGTACGTGTGTGCGTGCATGCGGGGTTACGTCCAGCGTCTGTCCCTACATAATCAGCCGTGGAATGAAGTCAATGACGCGCCGGAAAATATCTGTTGAAATGCACGGATCTGATGATTATATTGGTATAATGGTTTCGTCAGACGTTCACATGTAAAGATCGGATGCAAAAGGACCTACAGCCTCACATGCTGTGTAAGAGGCCTATTTCTGTGAAGAAAGTGAGGAGCGTCGGGTAGGATATGGGGGTTTCGCCGACCAAGAGATGTGAGCCGGGGATTGCGCGCTGCCGGGCGCCGCTAGCGTGGAAGGGGCACACTGAAGTTAAAAACAGGGGATCGGGGTTAGGCTATGCTTCATGACGCAAAGGCGGCCCACTTGGAGGCGGGCCAAAACTACCCCTTTGGACCGGCAATTGCGTCTACTGCTCGGCCACTTCTTCAAGGAGGGCTTGATGCGATGAGCATGTCGGCCCTTGAAATAAACGTGTCATGTTATGAGTCACTAATGGGAAACTTCGGATGAAAGAAATGGAAGGTTTGGATTCCGGGTAGATGACTGCAGTTTTTTGTGGGCTTTGATGTGGTGGAGGACCTGCAGAGTGGCGAACGAAGTTCAGGGGAAACGAAAAAACACAAAGCAGAGGGAAGGGGGCGGAACGACTTCTGGGACTCTTCCTAGAAAACCGCTCCCACCGCCGTCTGCGCTTTGGATCCATCGCTGAAGTAGAAAGACGATGAAGAGTGCGCCGCACGGACCTCAGAATCGCGAGTGGATCTCGCTGGGGATCAGAGTCGCTTTTTAGTCGAACGAGGGAATCCAGCAATGACAGTGATAATGCCAAGAATGTAATGAGAAAAGGATGAACTGCCATGCAAAGAAAGAACAGTTCATGGCTGTTATTTTGGCGTTATCAGTGGGCATGAACCCTGACGGGAAGCGTGGGACAGCGGGCGCCTGGGGGCGGGGCGGTTGCTTGAGAGAGCAGGTTCTGCAGGGCGGCTGTCGGTGGCTGCGGCTTAGTCCGTCCCTAACCATCCCTCCGGTGCACCGGGTCCGGAGAAGTGGCTGGGGACTGGCTGTGCTCGAGACCTATAATTCATGAGAGCAAGCGAGGTGAGTGCGGAGAGCCAGGCTCGGAAGGTTAGCGTCTGCGTGGCGACCGATCGCTGGAGAAGTCGCACCGGTGATGGTTGAGGATCTGTGTTTGGAATCGTGCCGGGCTGCCGCCGGTTAGAGGGAGCTAGGGAGCTAGATAAGTACAGATGAGTGCATTATACTCGACAAACTAGTTTAAATGTGAAGAAGCGTTGGTCGACCCTCCCCCCACCCCCTACGGCGTGTAACGGCATCAAAAATTAGAGTCGTTTTGTGGTCTTTTTGTCGCGATGCGCTGGGCGCGGATGTGTGGCTGAAGACGATAACTGAGAACGATGCACGAGGAAAACAGACAACTGCGCTCCGGGATTTCACCGCCGTTGCTCGTGACTGGCGGCGACTATCAGGCTGATTGTCGGACGGGGCCTCTGTCGGCCGTGACGGCTAGCGTCCCCGGTCCACGAGCCTGAGGTCAGGTTGCCAGGTCAGGTCATCAGGTTAGACGTCAGGTCAGGTCATCAGGTCAGGTCGTCAGATCAGACGCCATTTCAGGTCGTCAGATCAGACGTCAGGCCAGGCGCCGACTGGCCGTCGGGTCGCTGCTGGGCCGCCTCAGGACTGCTCTCTGCCACCGTCGTGGCACGGGTGGACGGCACGAGCTGATCAACAGAGGCCGCCCGCGGTCAACACGTCGCGAGTGGGAATTTGTGCTCCCCTCTTCGCGCAAGATCTTGTGGATGCTTTAAGGCGCACGCTATCGTGCGTGTTTCTGCTTGTTGTGAACCAGACGCGTTGAAACGAATCCGACTCGGGAGTTTACCGAGTAACAAAAAGTCTAGTTGTTGCAAGACCAGACGTGCCTCTGCCACTCCCTGACAAAGGCTAGAAAGTTGGCGATCTCTGTCGGGTAGTTCTACCCGCGCCACTAGTGATAGCAATGTCTTAGTCGTTTTGTTGTGGGTCGTAAGCGGAAGACCACTATGCTCCGCCACATGTGCTTCGGCTACCACGCAGGTGAATGCTGTATGTGACCGGCTCATTCTGCATCTTTGAACACCAACGCATCGCCGTGCAGGCAGTGGAGAGATCAGGCGAATATCAAATAGCTTATGGTTCACATACAAAAATTATCATAGCAGTTATAACGGCGGCGGCGTTGGCTCATGGAGCTACAGGCTAAATGTCAGCGGTGGGGTTTGGCTAGTTGTGCGTTTTTTTGTAGGCTGTTGGTGTTGACTGAGGATGGGCGCTGGGCAGTGCCGTGGCCAGGATTCCTGCCAGGAAGGCACCAAATCGGGTCATACGGGGTCTTTCCAGCCGGAAGGGTCCCTCTTCGTTGCTTAGGGGCCCTGTTTGTAGACCCGTTGGCATTTTTAGACTGGGGGTCAAATGGCGAATTCGTGCTCACCGAACGTGCCTTGGTGCACCTTTTTCGATGGTTTAGAAGTACAGGCGTGTAAAACTGCCAAAACGTGTTGCGGCACTGGACTTCAACGGAACCCGCCACTACAGCGAGGTGGGGAGGGGGGGAGAGGACACCCCCCCCCCCATCCCCCGTCCTTCGCCACGCCACAACACTGGATGCATGCGGTCTAGTGTAATTGAGCATGAGGACCCAGTTTAGCGCACTGTGTATGCGCAAACGTTCTTGAATGGCGTAAAACAACATGACATGTTCTTTATCTGATATGTTTGACTTGTCTCCTGCGAATTTCAATTGTCATTTATTGAAACGCATATTAATGCGTATAATACATTTTACAAGGGAGCGAGTGGGGAGGGGGCACTTGCCCACATGGGCCTCTACGTGAGAATACGCCCATGAGCACTGGTACACCCCTAAGAGCGTAAGCGTTGCGGTCGGTGGGCAAGGACACGTCCGAGCAGTGAAAGAGTTCTAAGAATGCATCTATTTAACGAAGGTGGTTTAATCGGCGATCTGATCGATGTCAGTGGTGTGCTTCATCCCCCACACGCGCCCAACGCGGACCGTTGTATTCACTCATCTGCATGTTGCACGCGCTGTAGGTTAGCTTCACGCTGGCCGCGTAAGCACGGGTCGCTTCAGCTTCGCGGCCCGCTGGTAATCGACACCAGCTTCGCCGACCCCGGTCTGGAGCCCCCGTGTGCGCCGCCCCATGCCCCGCATGACGAGCGCCGCACAGTGGCTGGTCTCGCCACGACACGCCGCCAGCTCAGCTCTGGCGTGCTGGTGAGCGGCAGCCGGCGGGCGCGTTCGTCCGGAGCTCACGTGCGGCCCGTGGGCTGGCGCGCGGCGCCGCTCCGACTGCGGCGCCGCCGGCGGCCCGATCTCGCCGGGCGGCTCCTACCCGCCGTGCGGGCCGCGGCCTGCCGCCGCCGGTCCGGCCACAGTGAGCTGAGACGGCCGGCGGTGGGGGAGCGTCACGTGCGCTGTGCTGTGATCGGCGCAGTTGGCTGTCAGCCGGGCACCGGCGGGCGCGGCGTCGCGCGAGCCTACCGTTCCAGGTGGGTATGGTCGGAGGAGTCGGGTTCCGGCGGGCGGGGCGCGTCGGCGTGGCCGCAGCGCGTGGGGCTCACACCGCGTGTGCCTCGCGCCTCCCGCCCGCGGGCCAGCTGAGCCGCCCTCCGCCGGTGTGCGTGAGGCGGGGAGGTGGGGAGAGCGGCGACGAGCCCGGGGCGGGGCTGGAGGCTCCAGCTCAGTTGGTAAGACAGCATTAGGTCGAGTGTCTCCCACCAGTCGCGAAGGACGTGCCGTGTGCCCCGACGGGAGACCAGCACGTCACAGACGAGGGTATGATGATGTACTTCGTGCCAGTTGGTACGCCGTCCAGGCCACTGCCGACACCGGCGACTGGGAGCCATTGTTAGGGCCAGAATGTAGCCAGAATTTCGGCCAGGAGCGCGCCAAATCGGTCAAGGGATTCTTCCAGCCGAATGATTGGTTGTCCCTTATGATGTTGGTTTTTAATTCGCGTGGCTAAATGACCTGGGCTGTATTTTGATACTTGAGAGATACCTGTAACGTTTTAGGCGCCTCACGGATGCCTTGTGAGGCTCTCGCGATTCCCAATGGGGGGGGGAGGGAGGGGGGGGGGAACTCCTCCCTTAGCTACTCCAACGGTTAGGTTCCCTGATCGCAGAAGGTCCGGTGAAGTGTTCTGCGCAGCAGTTCGACCAACAGAAATCAAATTTTAAGTCGCAATATCACGCTCGTGCCTAACTCCGTACCAGTGGAAATACTGGTCCCGTTTTGGGTTAATACAGCAGGTATTTTGCGGCAGTGCATTTGATGCGGAACAGTGAGTATGACGCCATCGCCCTCCACTCGATGCCTTCGCGTTGGCCCTGCCTGGCCGGTTATCTTTCTTGACTCATGATCGTTTGGCTGTATCGCAAGCCCCCTGAGACCCTCGTATTACCCCTTGGGGGAACCCCCGCCCCTCCGGCTGGGAACGCCCACACTAGACACTACGGCTCGGAGGCTGTTTTGCAAATGTATGCGAAAAACTTGTAGGCCTTGAGTCGGCGCAGGCCAGAGGTGGCTCGTACCCTGATGCACGCTCTGAAATACTGCCGAATACGGTTCTGTCGATGGCGCACAGCCAAGCGGCGCCTGGGCAGACAGGTCTGCCGGGCGGGGCGACTGCGGGTACCGTGTGGGACGCTTCCTGTTGCCGGCCGGTTGGTCGTATCCCACTAAAGTTGAACCCAGAGCTCCTGCCACACGCTGGATATGAGCCAAAGTCGTTACCGCGATGCATCGAACCCCATAAAATGTTAGCGCATGCGCATGGCTCGCGTAGGTTGCGGCGATCTTATATTGGCCCTCTGACGCTCGGCTGATTAGCCGAGAGTCTCGCGTGGTCGATGTGGATCTGGTGCGCCGGCCGGCCGCGGCAGCGCTCGCCTGCCGCCACGTTGGACGGGCGGGATTTTTCTGTGCCGGTAGCCTGGCGCCGCACCGGCGGCCGACACAGGCGGCGTGCCGGCCGTCCGCCGCCGGCGGTGACTCAGCCGGGCCGTGATCAGGTGCAACCGGCCGGGGCGTCCGGCGCTCCCGCCGGTCCGGCGGCGGCCCGGCGGCTCCCCGTCCCCTGTGGCGCGACGCAGGCGGCCGCGAGGCGCGCCGGCTGCCCCGCCGCGGTGGCAGGGGACGGCCATCGATCGGCCGGCGCCGCGCCGCGCGAGCGGTCCGGGTGCGCCTCGCCCGGGGCCGGCCACTGCCACAGCGCCGGTGTGTTGACCCGCGGTCGGCTCCGCTCGGCGCTGACCGGGCGGGTGCCGCCGGTCGGAGGTGCTCGCCGCCGAGGCCTGACGTCCGGCGCGGCGGGCGCGGCGGGCGCGGCCTTGCAGCCTATCAGCCGGCGCCGTATCGGACGCGCGATTGGGCGCCCTCTTCTGGCAATGCGTCATGGACGACGGAGGACGGCGGGCGCGGTCGTGCGGCGCTGGGCGCCCCGCTGCCCCGGGCGGCCCGGGCAGGACCGCTGGGCGCGAGACAAGACAGCGGCGCCTGGCTGGTCACGGGCTCGATCGCGCGCGCCCGGCGGCCGTGGCCGGTCAGGGAGCCACGGTCGCGCCGGCCGCCCCCGCGGCTCGGCCGCTGACGCCACGGCCGGGCGTCAGACCAGACAGACAGCGCCAGACCATTCCGTGGTCTGGCGCTGCCTGTGTGGAGGGCGGCGGCGCGGCACGTGACTGCGCCGGCCAGACGGCCCCGGCCGGGACGGCGCGAGCGGTCAGCGGCGACACGTCACGGGCCGGCCGACACCGCCGCGCTGATAGGGCGGCAGCTCTCTCGGCCGCCGATCGGCAACGGACCCGTCGGAAAACCGGCTGCCGCCCACGCCAGTCACCGGGGATTACTTGTAGGACCGCAGCTGAGAATTGTATGGACCGCGGCGGGTGATCGACGCAGGATCAGGACGCTGTCATGCAGTGAAACCGGTCGTGCTGATGCGGCAGTTGTGACAGCTGACAGCTCCCCGTCCCTGCTGGGCTGTCCCAGGGAGGCATGCTGTAGCTCATAAACCTGTGGCTGACTGGACGCGGAATGGAATTGCGACACACCTCGAGTCCGTGCCAGTTCACACGTACTGAATGCCATGAGAGGTCATATAAGCTGGGAAGTTTGCGTGCCGGTGAAATGGCGCTGGCGTGCAGCTGGACTGCCGGCCGATTGTCCACTTTCGCCGATAGGTTACGCCAGGTGGTTCATGGCGACGTGACTGATCTCGCTGGCACTTCCAACCTGTTGTCAGGGCCGAGCGGACTTGAATGGCATAGCTGGAGTGTGTAGCTTCGTGTTCTCCGCCGTCTCCGCCCCAGCCAAGACCAAGCCAAGACCCGGGCGTCGCCGGAGGCCGCTGACCCGCCACGCCGCGCCGAGGGGGCCGCGTGCCGGGCGCGCGCCGCCGACAGGTCACGGCGGGGCGCTGACAGTGCTGCGCCCGGCCGTCATTCATACGGCGCCGCGCCTTACCGGGCCGCGTGCATCCTGGCCCGAAGCCGCAGGGTCACGCGTCCTGCGGCCGGGAACAGGTTTGGCTGGACGCGGCCTTTTACGGCGCGCGGCCACCACCCACCGCCGCTGGCGACCGCCGGCCGGCGACGGCGGCGACCGGCCGACCCGGCCGGACGCCCTCCCTTAACCAGCTACATGCATGCATCGCGGAGCAGCTTACCGCGCTGGCTCACACAGGTCTCGGCTGTAATCTCCCGTGGGGCGTGCGACGCTCACACACATTGTGCGTGGGCTCCTGACGGCGGCCGACAGGCGGCGCCGGAAGCGGGGTGGGGGCGGGTGCCGTCGGCATGTGACTCCATGGCAGTAGCTCCATGGCAGTAGCTCCATGGCAGCAGCTCCATGGTAGTGCGTTGCAAGCTGTGCCGAATACCTGCTCTTCTAAATATAGCCATGTTTGAAGAACGGCGCGGCGGTGTGATGACTTGCCAGCAGCCAACATTGCGACGGTTTCAAAAGGATGTTGTAACCCCGCGCCTGCTCTGCTGGTCGCATGCCGGCGGCTGACTGACTGGCCGTGCTACCAGGCTGTCTGTCTGGTGGCGACTGACCGAAAGGTCGTATAGCGGTTGCGGGGCAACAGTTAGTTGCCGTAAACCAGCCAGCCATGGCCAGAATTCAGAACTGTAAATAGAGCGACTGACAAATGGACTTAGGTGAATGAATACACATTTGTCACGTGTGTGGACGACAGCCAAATGTAGATGAAGCCCGAAACGCGCTGATTTTCGCTTCTTTGATCTAAACATGAAACTTTGAGTCGTGCTTGTACAGCATACGTCAGTGCCATTGACAAGATTTTAGCGCAAAGTAGGTAGCCGCCCAACTTTTGACAGGATAGCGCCCCAAGCCACGGGGCGCGCCGCGTCGCGGCACGCGTCTGCGCGGCCGTCAGCGCGGCCGTCGCCGTCGCGCGTGACTCCGTGGTGCTGATTCTCCAACGACGCCCAGTAATTATCCTGTTACTGGAAAGTGGACACGCGCTAAGGAAGGCATGGCAATGTGATACATTAATAGCGCTCACAAATGCGATGCTGGTCACCATCGTCGCCTTCCCCTGTTTTATCGAGACTCCAATACGTGTGCGCAGCTGGGTGAGGTATTGCATGGGCTTCTGCAGCATGGTGAACACACCAGTAATTTGTTTCGGAGAGAGAAGCAGTTTTCTCAAGCCTTTGGCGAGCGGAGCGCTGAGACACAGGCCTCGTCGCCGAGGGGCGCATGTTCGCGGTGGAAGCGGAGCTCTACTCTGCTGTGAGACGGCGTGTGGTGCGCGGTCGAGGCCGGGGGAGCTGAGCCTTCGCAGCTTTGTATGTTCCGTGCTCAGAGTTTGTTTGGCCAAGCGCCGCTGTTTTCGTTTGGGTCGTTATCCCAGTTGGACGCTGTTTCGGACTTCTCGGCACGGGCGACCGGCGGGCGGATCCAGGATCCAGGATCGCCAACGGTGGATCCAGGATCCTTTAGGCTCCATGTTTATGGGATCCTGTGGTCTTTTGGGGGCTCCAGACTCATGTCTGGTGACCGGTGGTGTCGGTCGGTGGCTTCTGCCCCTGCTCCACCATGTTCACCTGAGAACCGAGAGTTTCTGTGGTAAGTTGGCAGACCGGCGTCAGCCCCGGCGTCAGTGTGGCTCTGCGTGACGGTCCGGCCCGGTCCAATGAGAGCGACACGGCTCTGCCAGCCGGCCGGCAGCGCCGGCGTGCGGCCGTACCCGCCTCGCGCGGCGCCGCCCCGGCTCCTTTGTCTGCTCCGTGGCGGCGGCGGCGAGATCAGAGGCGGCGCCGGCGCCTGGTCGGATGTCGCCGGCCGGGCCGCCGACGGCACCGGCAGCGGCGCCCTTCCTCGAACGACCGCCACGGCCGGCTCTGTCTGTAGCCTGCCGGTGACCACAGGCCGGGCAGCCCCCCTTCCCCGCCCTGCCCCCCCCCCCCTTCGCCGGATTTCGCTGTACCCTCCGCGCCCAGCTTGTATCCTCCCCTGG